CACACACACACACACACACACACACACACACACACATCCTTGCATTTGCATCAAACTGAGGACTTTGTATTGACTTCCATTCATTTTTGCAACTATGTTTATGTCTACCTCAGACATTTTCCCTAAAATTAACCATTACTGGTCTATACTTAACACTAACCTGAACCAAAACTTAATTCACACCATACCTCTAAACCTAACTAGTAAAGTACTGCAGAGCTGCCTGCAGTAACCTCACAGTTACCTACCTACCTGACCCTAAAACTAACCTAAACCTTGGTCCTAAACTTAACCCCCCACCCGTAATTTGCAATAGGATCTGTGGGGACCTGGCATTGGTCCCCATGAAGCACTTCAGTCCCCACAAGGCTGCTTTTTTGGGAAAAAATTTCCCCACGTTGTAGGAAAAACCCGTCCACACACAAACACATACACTGCACGAACAGGCAGTTATTGCAGTCAAAGTTTTTTTACACACAGGCCAAAGTTGTCAGGTTGAAAGTACTTGCGGGCAACTGAAATGAATTTTTTTAATAACAGAATTGTAAAAATATTTTATTGTGATTGTGTTTTTTTTACTTTAAACTGTCAACAACAACAACAACAACAACAACAACAACAACAACAACAACAACAACAACAACAACAACAACAACAACAACAACAACAACACAATATTTTGTGAAAGGACAAATCTACTATTTGGTAGAAAAGGTGTTCTAAATCACAGTAGATTCAAAAATGTAAAAAGTCTTGCAAACATTTAGCTTAATAAAAAGAGAAACATTCAGTTCTTTTGATTTGTTCAGTCTGTTGCTTTTTGTTTTGGTTTGGAAAGTACACTTTAGGCCAAAAAAATGTAATATAAATCACTTTCCTTCAAAAACAGTCACTGAAGGAGGGGGGCTGTTTTGCTGGTCGTAGACCCTTGAATTAAAAATATATTGGTTCATAGTTAAAAATCTATCCTGAGAGAATAATAATAACAAAATAATCTTCTGGACTCACAACCATGAAGATGGTCGAAACACTAAAACAAAACAAAGTGTGCAGGTGAGGTGGCAGTCCCTAAAACTGATTCATAAAAGGTTGAATTTGAAGGAACACAAGTAATGTTGATGTAATTGTGTAATATGCTTAAATAATCGCCCCAAAGTCTTATTTTTCTTGTTCCTCTTTTGAAATCAGCAGCATTTTTCTTCCCTATGTCTTGCTATATTTAGTCTAGTTTTATGTATTTTATGATTTAAGTCTACTTTTTGTAAAAGTTGGCTATAGTTTGTGATATTTTTATACTGTCAAATTGTATATAACTGTGGGTAAATAGGTTAAATGCAGTCACGGGCCGCACAAATAGGGTGACAAATGGCTTGAGGGTCACACTTTGGACACCATCTCCAGTTCCATGAAAACAGCACTTAGTATATGAAGTGTCCCACAACAACCTGTGATCTGAACTGGACCCCAGCTGCAACTTGTCTTTGCAGACGACAGCTTTTGGGACAAAAGCACGCAAGAAGCTGCAACATAAATCCGGATTTATCTGTGTTGTTCCTACTGCATCCTTTACCACATGTAAGGTTTACTCGATCTGACGGCTAGAACCGAATCCAGCCCTGCCTTCTGTCTCTTAACTCACTCAGGACTTCGTACTAACGAGACTAGGAAGTACCAGTGGGCTAAGGGAGTCCAACCGGGGTTAAAGCGGATAATCTCCAGGCACCGCATCAAAGGAAAGCAAACAGCATCCATGTTGGTTAAAAGGGGTGTTAGCTTGTTCGTGTCCTAGTCTGCATTTAGCACTTAGCTTGCTAACTAATCCAAGGGCAGTAAAGCTGACTGTTATCCCAGTGACTAATACGAGTGCATTTCTTACCTTCACTTTTCTTCAACTCGGACACAACGGCTCCTGGTTTGTTTTCCACCTGAGTTTTAGAAGCCCCACATCTCAATTTTCCCCCACCGCTAAACCATTGAAACAGCCACCGAGCTACCGACTACACCGGGAAGAAACACCCTGTCAATCCGTGACAGCGATTCGCGCGGTAACCTCCCACTGCTCTACGGGCGCGTTCACACACAAAGCTGACGTCGTGACGCTACATTTCTGGCTGACGGCGGCGCGCTCGGAAGAGAAAACTTGTGTGGGTTCTACCTTCAGGTATGTTAACATAATTAATTAGAAAACAAAAACATTCTTTTGTTTTTTAAAGAACTTTTGGGACCAATGTTGTTAGCAAATGGTAAACGAGTTACGCTAGGTATAGTAGCCCGTATACGAATTCAGCTTTGTCTGATGAGCTTTTTAGCCGTGTCATGAGCTAACGTTAGCATTGCTCGTTAAAGCTAAAAGTTACAAGCTTGGCTAACTAACTGCTAATACGATTAGCTTCACTTTAAAAGTGTGTGTAACACCAACAAATCTCTTAATAGAGGTGAAACCTTTTAAGAATACATTAGCAATACAAAACTGAATAGTTACCAGCGTGCAGGGCTTTTTTTCTGTGCGAATCAACCAATCATGAAGTAAAACTGTTAGCGCGCTGTTAGCCTTTCGAAGCTAAATACTTCGAAAAGTTAGTTGGTTTTTCAATGTGCCAAGAAACTCGCTTCTCACGCAGCTCGTTTTACGAATCACTGTAAAAACGATATCATAACGAGATGATGTACAAACAAAAGAATGCTCATCCAAGTTGTGCACTACTAAAAAAATAAAGATTAAAGCTGGTGGGATCAGAGGACATTCAGTCAACTAGCTGTGAGAGCAAAGGACTTTGTTACAAAAACATTTTAATACTATGTGCTGCCACAGAGATTAACAACTCAAATACACTCCAGAGTTATTAGACAGGATGTGTGCTGTATTTTCATTGTATTTTTCATGTTTGAGTACATTTAAGACTAGAATCTGGGTTTAATTTTGATTTCTTTCTCCTGTTTCTAATGGGTATTATGTCAAATTGTGTTTTCTCGAGATGTGTTCCCCACCAGCTTTTCTTTTTACACCTCTATTTAAAGGAGACATGTCAAGCAAAATCAATGTTTTTAGCTGTTAAATACATTTTATGTAACTTGGAGTCTCTAGAAGTGCAGAAAAGTTGAATTCAGTATCCTGGTGCTGCATAGATATATATATATTCTCTTTGGGCCATATTTTTTCAATGTGTTCAGTTTTCTCTATTTTCTATGACATTTTCTGAACTATTAAATAACAGGATTTGAGATGGAACTTATAAATAAGATATGAACTTACCAACTACAGTTTGGTGGTCTTTATTCTCCTCTGGCTCTCGCTCAGACTCTTGCTCACCCCTAATT